ATGGTAAGAAGCTGAGTTCAACGCAGAGATTTTACTGACTTTTTTTTCTTCTCTTTCTTTTCTCTTTCCCCCCTTTTTTTTCTTTATTATTTTTTTAAAATTTTCTTGGTTTTAATACATCTTAGACTGTGTTTGATAAAAAGCTATACCGTGTACGGGCTCTGGGAAGTCGGGAGGGGGGAAGGGAGGTGGGGTCATAGGGTCATAGGGGGGAGGGGGGAAATATAGTATGTGCCAGATTTTAAAGTAACATGATTGCACTTGTATACTGATGCTTTTTTAAATTTTAGCATAAAAATAAGAAGCTGAGTATATCGATAGATAGTAGAAATACACCGAAGGGGGGAGTAGAGGGAAAGAAGAGGGAGGGGGTAGAGAGGGTGGGAGAGAGGATCGGAAGGAGGGTGAGATGGAAGGAAGGGGGAGAAAGGAGTGATAGAGGGGGAAAAAGAACAATAATAGAACCACCTCAAGCTCTAAATCCCAATGACAAAGCCTACTCTGGAAGGACTTTTGGAAAGAAAATAGGGATGGAGCTGACCAGTGGTGGATTTCTACTGGTTTGGACTGGTTCAGCCGAACTGGAGTGGTTTAGCAGTCTGGGTTGCTGGAACCCACAGCAACCCTTAACTGGTTTTCCGGCCAGCACCGGTGGGGGGTGCCATCTTGTTTTTAAATTCTGTGCATGTGCAGAACAATGTAAGTGTGTGCCACAGTGCCCAAATGAGCGAACCGGCAGTAGTGTCTGCCGGAACCCACCCCTGGATCTGACCTCATCTCAGGGAGGAAAGTATTCCATAAGGCGAGCACTACAGCAGGGAAAAGACGTCTGCTTAGCCCACCAAGTCTAATTCCCTAACAGATGGGCCCTAAAACATGCCTCTTTTGTTGGTGTTGATGTAATTGGCATGAAGCAGTCAGTCACAAAACCCCAAGTCATGTACGGTTTTAAAGGTCAAAAACAGCATCTTGAATTGGACCCAAAAACGAAGAGCAAGAGTGTAACATGTGTTGTTTTAAGTGTCCCCATCGCTGCCTACTTAAGTGTCCAGATGCTTTTTAAGGGCAGCCCGATATAGCAGTAATCTAATGGTGATGTGATGAGGGCATAAGTGAGCATGAATAAGAGCCTCTCAAACTAGGAATGCTCTTCAAACAGGATTTGTGAATCTAAGAGGACACCCAAATTGTGTATGGTGTTAGTTTGGAGCAGTGGCATAATCCTAGAACCAGTGGCCCTTCAAATCCAAAGGGCTCAGTCTTTCCAGGGGTCAGTTGAACTCTATTGTTCCCGATGTGAAGCCTCACAGCCTCCAGACACTGGGATAAAATGTCACTTAATTGGCCAGGGGCCAAGATATGAGCTGCCTGATATGGATGCACAATTCCCATCGTCCCCACACCAGAGATTATCCAAAAGTATGACCAATGCTATATCCATCCCATACCAAGATTTGAACCCTGACTGAAAAGGATTTAAATAATCTGCTTTGTCCTAAACACTCTGAAGCTGCTACACAACCATTTTCTCAACCATCTTCTCAAAAAAGGTGGAGGTGAGATACAGGATGAAAACTGTCTATATAGTGAGGTCCAGTATTGGCCTCTTGAGAAGAAAGCAAACCAAAGCCTCCTTAAGAGGTAAATGAACAGCCCCCTTACCCAAAGAAGAATTGACTAGTAGAACCAGTAGAACCCACAGAATGTGAGAGGTGTTTGTAAACAAATTGGTATATATCGCCATCTTTGATACTCAACCATTCTTCATGGTCAAGACATGTTTAAAATAAAATAGGAAAATTATTCAAGAATCTCTGATAACTAATCTTGTTTATGATTTACTATATCTCCTAAAACATATAAACCAAAATTTATGTTATTAAGAGTTCAGATTATTATTATCAAGTGGAAAACTAAAGATCACATTTCTCCAGGAAGTGATATTTAAAAGTGTTAGAAGTTGTTTTCGCTCAAGAGTTAATCAAGTGAAAGTCTCTCTTGCAACAAAATCAACTCCTGATAACTACATGGACATAGACTTGAAGTTTTCTTAGCAATACAGAAATGTTTTTTTTTCATCTTTTGCAATTTTTACTTCCCGTCTAGTCTGCATCTCTGGGATTTCTAAGGAATTTGGACTAAACTTACAAAGACAGGTATACTCAGACTGGTCACCGTTATTTAGTCATTTTAACTGCTTTTCATAAATAATTGTCTTTATTATTCAAGACAGACATGGTAAATATGATTCTTTGCTTAATTTCTATTATTCAAGACAGACATGGTAAATATGATTCTTTGTTTAATTTCTTTTCTTATGCTTTTATTTTTCTTCCCACTTTTTGCATTCGAGTGTTGTTGTTTTTTAATGCAATAATTAAGGAAAATAAATTCACAGGACTTTGAAGTGTTGTTGAGATTACTTTGCCCTTGTTTTGAATTCTGACGTGAAACTTAAACCCATCAATATAATCTGCATAATCAACCTGTCATGGCCACTCCTTCGGTCTCACTTTACATTTTACATTATGTAGTGAGTTAGTCTGAGAAAGTGAGATGTAGCTTTTCAGTAAAATGTATCCGTTAAGAAAAGATTTGTAGCTTCCATAGATTTAATACTCTCCCAACAACTGCTCAAGTGCCGGAGTTCACTTTAACTAAAACAAAGAAAGTTCTATTATGGCTTAGCCACTGAACAGAGCCATTATATTTGTTCTGCAAATCACAAGGTGGCAACTTTGGTCTCTTTGTTCCCGATTTAGATAATCACTAACTGATCACGATTTGCTGCCTCACCTAAATCCTGTAAACGAGGGAATTCCAATATTTGCAGATCAAAACCTGAGACCTATAGGGCCTATGCAAAGAGTTTAAAGAGAAGAAAAAGTCCCAAGCACTTAAGGAAGTTAAAACCTTTCTGCCTCAGGAATCAATTCGGGAGCGGAAGGGTAGTTACACCTGCCTGCAACCTTCAGGGGAGGGAACCAGACGCGTTTTTGCGAAAGAGCAATAATAATTTACCAAGAAGGAAAGTGTGTGTGTGGGGGGGCACACCACACTCAAAAGCCTGAAAACCTGTTCTGTTACTTAGATGAGGAGCAAATGTGGCTTGGAGCGGGTGAGAGACTCCGGAGAATCCAGACCAAGGAGGTCGAGGCCGGAGCCCAGATGACCCGGGCGAGGAAAAAGGTCTGTCAATCCGGGAAAAGTCATAAAAGGCGCCACTTTGCCGGCTAAAATCTGGCAAACGACAACGGGGAAAATCTCACGGGCGCAAACGACGGCGACTCACGGGAAAACCAAGCACAAAACCTGAGCAAGACGATTTGCTTTGCCAAAGCCCCTTTGGAGGAGGCAAGCTCCCCGCCGTTGAAAAGGGCAGCACGAAGTGTCCCGAAGGTGGGGGGCGATTAATTCTTTACTCCCGGAGGAGGGAAGAAAGTGGGGGGAAAGAGAAATCACACGTTGGCGGAAGAAGAGCACATTCTTTACTCTGCACACCCCGAAAGAAAAGTTTTCTCCTGCGGGCACGGAAGCCTTCCTCCTCCTCCTCCTCCTCCCCTCCTCGGCCACCTGGGCTCCGGCGTCGCTTTTCCTCCTCGGGCGAAGGGGGACTCGCGTCTGTCCCGAAAGCGGAGGCTGCGGCCGAGGCTTGTGCGCGCTCCCGGGGAGGACGCAGGCATTTGTGGCCCGAGGGCTGACGCGAGCGCTCTCTCCCCGGCTGTCGGTTTGCCCCCGGGCAGGGCTGCGCTGGAGAAGGGAGCGAAGAGACGGACGATGAAGAGAAGCGACCGGCGGAGTTTATTGTTGGCCGGCTGTCCCGAGTAGCCGGTAGCTTCTTGGGTGAGTTTTCTGAAGGAAGGTTGCTGGAAGGGAATCGGGATTTGGGTCAGCCGGGTCAGATAATAATACCCGTTTCTTAGTGCGTTTGAAACAGGAAAGAAGCCGGCGCGGCAGTCTTCGCCTGGCCTGATATTAGTAGGGAGTGTTGCATCTGATTGATTCAAGAGATTAGGGCGCAATTCGGGAAAAGGTGCCGGAAGAAAAGGGGTAAAAACAGTAACAGAGTTGGAAGGGTGCCTTAGAGGTCATCTAGTCCAACCCCAGGACGCTATTTTCTTGATCTGGAAGGGGAGATTTGTTTTTTTTTGCTTTGGAGGCGTTTGCAAGTTCATTTCTTGCTGATAACCTTAACGCTTCTCTTAAATTAATTACTTTACCTCCTCTGTTCGTTTTTGTTTGTTTTGGGGCTATCAACTTGGGGCTGTGTTGGCATCACATAGAGCCTCACACTGGCCAACAACACTTTTAGTGGGGGGTGGGCAACGCAGCCTGTTTGAATAACGTTTCCAGAATATATTACTTTCTCCTAAACGTGTTTGTATTCTACACTTTGTTCAAAACCTTTGGCTAATATTTTAAAAGCAATGGGATCTTAACAAATCCCATCTTTGCTACAGTAAAACTAGTAGCTATTTAATTTTCTTGTATTACTGTGCCCGACCACTTTAAATGCTAACCTTGCCGCCTACAAATGAATAACTGTGATTGAATTTTACCAACAGTGTTGAGTCCTGATTTAACATCTTCATTTATTTTAATTGGGGAAGAGGGCTTAGATTATAATCTTTTACAATTTGCAACCTAATCAATTAAAACATTTAATTATAGATTTTCCCACAGTCTGTGTCATAAGACAGGCTAATTATTTTTGAGCAGCAGATATCATATAGGCTTGATACCCAAATGCCATATCTATTTTATATTTCAGAACGAGCTGTTATAGGGCAGTGATGGTTAATTATTTTGGTGCAGAGTGCCCAAAGCGCGTGTGTGCAAACGCACATGCACATGACCCAATCTCAAAAATGCAATGTGGGTGCCACCCTGCACATATGCCCCATTCCCCTGGCCCCCGTTTTAGCTTCCAAGTTGGTACAGGAGGCTTCCCAGGCCCAAAATGGGGCGCAAGGGGGCCTCCCACAGTGCCCCAGTGCTGTGTTTTGGCTTCCATGATCTCCGCAGTTTCTCCTCCCCCCCCCGTGCGCCCTAGTTTTCTCCTGCATTCTTGCCACGGAGAGGCACCCTTAGGAAAGGGAAATCTGCAGAGATCGGGGAAGGGATGGGCGGAAGAAATGGAGGAGAAAGGTTGTGCGTTCTGGGGGGGACTGCGGAGTTTGGGAAAGGCCCTGCCCCCCCCATGCATGCACGGCAGAGACCTGAAGACTAGCTGGGTGGCGGGAGGCATGAGCAGATGTTTGGTGGAGCTGGGCTGGGGCAATGGCTGGTGTGCCCACAGAGAGGGCGCTATGTGCCACGTATGGCATGGGTGCCATAGGTTCGCCATCACGGTTAAAGGGTAATCAAAATCCAGACCTTAGCTAGGTGGCAGCACAAAACTTGGGTTGTTTATCGTTGCCATTAACTGGTCCTCCAGAGTTTTAGCAATAGCAATAGCAGTTAGACTTATATACCACTTCATAGGGCTTTCAGCCCTCTCTAAGCGGTTCACACAGTCAGCATATTGCCCCCAACAATCCGGGTCCTCATTTTACCCACCTCTGAAGGATGGAAGGCTGAGTCAACCTTGAGCTGGTGAGATTTGAACAGCCAAACTGCAGAACTGCAGTCAGCTGAAGTAGCCTGCAGTGCTGCATTTAACCACTACGCCAGCTCTGTTTTCCCGTTCGGATGTGGCTACTCTGCTGTTTGGTTGTAATTAAACCTTTTCAATCTTAAAATGTGCTGATAAGAGGAGAATTTTAAAAAGATTTAAGATACATCATAATTAACTTTAAAAGGTATCTTTCCCTTCTAACGGCTGTATGTACGCAATATGGTAGACCATGAACAATTCTGTATAAACTGTCAAAATGACATTCACAAAACACAAATAAACCAAGTTTGTTACTTAACATCATTTGAATAAACCTATATAGCAGTGAGTGGGAATGTAGTTTATCATATAGGTAAGAGCTGTCTTCAGGATCATCAAAAATATATTTTCGTTTGGCAAAAGTGTACACATTTTTGTGTAAATCCAGATCTATTGTGTTTTCCCCAAAATAAGACCTAACCAGAAAACAAGCCCAAGCATATTTTTTTCAGGATGCTTGTAATATAAGCCCTACCCAGATCGTCAGTCTTCGGGGGTGAGGGGGGGCTGCATAGCCAGCACAGGAGGCATTAAAACACATGGGAGCTGACAGTTTCTTTGGCCAGCATACTCTGGGGCTGCCCAGCCTGTGCAGTGCAGGTGAGTCTGAGTGTTGCGACTTCTGGGGTGGCCTCAAAGCAGCAGGCAAAGGCAGAGGTGTGGTGGAGAGGGACGCAATCCAGTCCCCAGATGTGCTGCATGGCCACCTATCCCAACCCTACAGCAAGCAAAGGCAAATGGTATGATGGAGTGGGCAGGAGGTTGCGCCATGCATCCGGTGGGCCAGATCATGTGCCTCCTCCTGTGCCTCCCGCCTGCTGCTTAGAGGGATGACCCAGCAGTCGCAAAACTCAGACTCATCTGCACTGCACGGGCTGCGCATTCCCAAAGTGCACCGGCCAAGTGGCTGGTGGACTGCGGCTGCTGGCAGACACTGTTGGCCCCTAGACCGCCTACTGCCAATCACCTCCACTAGACCGATAAGATCGCATAGATTAGGCGTCCTCCGAATTCCATCA